ACCTACACTAAAACAAGACTTTGATGGAACTATAGACACCAGAGGGGTTAGTAGATCACGTGCCATGGCAGTGAGAACTGGATAATTTTTTGAATGTTCACTCCACCATGCTAAAATATCAAAGTTATTTGTTCCATCACCTAAACTAGAAAAGATTACTTGTAAATAAAAATTAAGTTTAGTAAATGAACTTGTTATAGAAGTAGCAGATTTCTGCATTCTACTTATTAAATAAAAAAGTTTTTCTCTTCTACTATTGGGTTCAAGATCAAAAGTAGAAGATGTTAGATGTTGTACAAGTTGTAGGATTCTCTCCTACTTCTTCAGATTCATATAAACTGTACATTTCGAATAATAATTTTTTTATTTTTTCTTTTTTATTTCCAATTTCAACATTCATATTTTCACAATATGTTCCAAATAAAATATCTAAACCATCTTTCTTAATCCTAGGATCTAATATTGTAGCTAAGAAATAAAGGGGAGAAATGCTCTTCCAATATTTTTTAAATTTATTTTTCATTATTTCAACGATACATTTAAATTGTGGATTATTTCTTCTTCCTTCTCATGTGTGGGAAAATGTCTGCTTACATGGCCAATACCACCCTTGCTTCAATAACTAAAGTCCTTTCTACATTTTTGGCAAATTGCTCTTTTTCCCTTCCCCTCAACATCCTCTATTTTAAATATTTTCCAAATCGAGCTACTAAACTTGAGGAATTGGTTTTTGGAAGAGCCGACCATTTTTTTTAATTATAAAAAGATAAAATTAATTTATTTGGATTTACCCGGATTGTCGGTTCAAAATCCCAACTTGATTTCAATGGTTAAAGCCTTTTAACGCCTAAGCCTCCCAAATTACTAACTTGAGATACTTAAGTTGGTTGAGCAAGGCAACAAGCCTTCTTCTTGTTGAAACTTCAATAAAGTTGAGAATTAGAGAATTAGACAATCAGCCAATTAGACTATCAAAGTTCACTCAGATTGTAGAGAATGTATGAGAGAGAGAGAGAGAAGAGATTAAGAGTATTGTTGAATGTTGAATTGGTGTGATGAGAAGAATGGTGGAGGATAAGGCTATTTATAGGAATTAAAAATAATTCAATTGCCCAAAATACCCTAAAAACTAGTTATTTTTTAGTTGTTGGGAGGGGTATTTTGGTCATTGTAAAGTTATTTATAACTTTACCTAAAAAGCCCCCCCTAAACTAGTTGTTATATAGTTGTTGGGGGGCATTTGTGTCATTTTTCTCCCCTCTATAAACAAAATACTTAAATACTTAAATACCAAATAGCTATTGGGGGGTATTTATGTAAAAAAACCCCCCAAAAAGCTGAAACTAGCCATTGGGGGGGGGGGGGGTGTCCCCAAGGTCCCTAGACCGCTAGACGGCTAGTTTCCAGACGGGCTGAGCACGGCCCGCTACGGTTCCTACGGGCCATGCCATCCAGTGGACTATGAACCCCTGGCACAGCATAGCATGGACCATTGTGCTGTGCTAGTCCAAATTCATGCTGGGCCGCGAGCGGCACGACCAGATTTACACTTATAATTTTAACCCCCATTTTACCCACACATATAAACAATGCTTTTCAATATTATATTATACATTTGAAGGAAGTTTGTCAAATCACCACGTTGTGACACATGGGAATCCATGTGGGTGCACGTATTGAGTGTCACATGGACCCAATGTGCCATTAATAGAAAAAAGGAATATTAATAATGATAATAATGACAATATTAATAAAAAATGATAGTAATAATAATAATAATAATAGTAATAATAAAGAAACACCAAAATTTAATTAATATTATTATAGCATATTATTATTCATATAAAAAAATCAAGAAAACAACACATTTAAGCATATTATTATTCAAATATTTTGACATATTATTATTCACATATTTCAGCATATACAATGTGCAATAAAAATCTAAAAAAAATAGTATAAAAAAATCATATTAATAAAACCACAATCAACATTCTAATTAAAGAAAAAAAAGTATTGCAAAATACTTTTCACATATTTTGCTCAAAATTCAATTTTGAAAAAAAAATATTACAAAAAGAGTAATAATAGATCAAAAACAAGAAAGGAGGATGGTCGACCTGATTTCTCTGATGATTCTACGGTGAGAATGGCGTGAAATCCCCCCCCCCCAAAAAAAAAAAAAAAAAACCCTAGATCTGGTAAGCAACAGTGAGAAAAGTGTTTCAGGTGGTAAATAGTTAAAATAAAAACAAAAATAATCTTGGAAACATGAAAAAAAATGGTTCAAAACATGTAACCGACCTAATCGCCAGTGAGTTTATAGTTGGTTTGGTGGTTGTTGTTCGCTTAGAGACTTAGAGTATAGGTTTCGTCGTTGGTGTGCTTAGGTTTAGCCGAATGAGGAAGATGAGGGTTTTGAGAACATGTGGGGTTAATATTTTACAAAACATTAAAAACATTTAATACTTTACAAAATAAATAACAAGTTATGTAATAATAGTACTAATTATAATTTTATGGATTATTAAACTCAATAAATAATTAATATTTTAAAATTTTATAACAATATTATTTAAATAACTAAATAATATTGTAAATAACTAATTTCAGTTATATCAAATAATAATTATAGAAAATAACTTTTAAAATAACTAATATTTATTAGTAATAATAACATATATTCATTATATATTTATATATACTGAAAATAGTATTTATTGTATTTTTTGATAAATATGTTTTCAAGGATTATTTATAAATCTATTTTTGTTTTGTTATTAAATAAAAAATTGTCAATAATTATTGGAGATTAAACAACTATTAATAAATTTTGGAATCTAATTTATTGTATTTGTTGAAATTTTTAAATTTATTCTTAGTAATGATGTATTTTTTATAATTTATTGATTAATATTTATAAGAGATTAAACTATTATTTGAGATTACATTATTTATTGAATAATTTAATATATTTTCAGTATTTATTGTATTTTTATTAGATATCTATTGTATTTTCATTATAAAATTATTTTTAATAATTGTGTATTTTTGCTATAAATTTTCAATAATTATTAGAGATTAAACTATTTTTATTTATTTGAGATCAGACTATTAACTTAGTTGAAATTTATAAGGATTGGTTCAGTTCGGTTGTAGGCTGTTTCACCAACCAAATCTACCTAGTTAGGTTAGGAGTTTGTCACTCGAAACCGACTGACCATTAGTGAATACCCGCCAACTCGGATTGTATTAGTTTGGGTCTATTTTTAGTTTGGTTTGTTTGTTCAAAAGATTTAAACTTAAAAGTTAAATTTAAAATTAATAAATTATAGTGATATTATTAATAAATAAATTTATGATATAAAATATTTTAGACTAAGAAATATGGGAATTTTTCCCACTTTCCCGTAATAAAAAATTATATTTAAAATATAAAATATTAATATATATCTATGATTAGGTTAGTTCAATTATGGTTGATTTACAAATGGCCAAATTGAAATAGACCTAACTTAGTTGAATTGGAAATTGTTGAACCAAAACCGATCAGAAATAATAGAAAACCGACCAACTTGGATCGAATTCAATCAAATTAATCACTAAAAAGTTAAAATATAAAACAATTATATATTCTTATGTATTTCTATTGTTTAGCTTTCACTTAATAAAGCCCGTCTCCACTAATTTAAATATATGATATATACGTTTGTAGAATATGCCAATATAGTATATATAAGATATAAAATGTTTCATATGAATATATGGAAAACATTCTTTTCAGATATTAAACTGAAAAGAACATAAACTACACTTTATGTTGGCCAAAAGGCCAATATATACACAACTTCTGGGACAGGTCCGGCTGAGCAGACATAGAGTTGCATAGCCTGGGCTCGGCTCACATTACGTGCGGGGTTAGTGCAGATTCGGGCCGGGTCATAAATGATCAACCCTGGTGGTGGTGCCATCTTATTTTACATGTGAATACAATTACTGAAATGTCCCATTTTACTTGTGAATGTACTATTCAAACGCATTTAATTTTCGAGGGCAAATCCGTGAAGATGTATTCTTTTTATTGTAATTTTCATTTTTCAATTATCTTTAGGCTGCAACTTTTTTTTATCTTTTTGACATAGACCATTTCTGCTAAGAATAAGATGTACATTTGAGGCAGGTGGGTCATGTGTCAGACAGTCGGACCATCCAGTCAACCCAGCCCTTTACTCAGAAATAAATGTAAAAACGTAAAATAAAACTTATATTTTAAATATGCTTTCTGACAACAGAAACCTAAAGCAATAAAATAAAATAAAAAAATGTATAAATATGAATTTGTTTTTGAGATTAAATGGTCAGTGGTGGATTAACATTAAGTGCTCAGAATAATTGGACTTAGGCCCCACACTATATTCCAGATATGAGTTATTGTTCCTAATTCAGAGGAGATAATGTATTGTGTGTGGGGTAGGCGTGGGCAAAATTCTCGTGGACAGAAGATCCGGAGTATCAGATTTGTGCTGTAAGACGGATTCGTAAGAGAATGTTGCACCCAACACCCTTACATAGCCACATGCCTAGTCTGAAGATGGCGGTGTGATAATATATAGTGCCTAAATTATTTCTTCAGGAAAATGTGAATGAAATAAATGGCCAGGATTATCTGATCTCTGTATTGTTTAGCACGCACATCAACTTAGGTGGGTCCGTCTTATTCAAAAAATAAAAATCAAGCGGGACTCCTACAGTCCTACTGGGGACAGACCAGATGAATGGAAAGTTGTTTCAATGGAATAGTAGTAATTTTTCTGCGTAAAAAAAGGATTCCAGAATCCTTTCTACGCTTTCTCCGGGTGGGAAGAATTAGAATCCAACTTGCTCTCTGCTTGCATTGAGCTTGCATATGCATAAATGCAATGCAAGCAGAGAGAAGACTCCTCGGTTGTTATACTTCTACATTGTTTTCTCCATCTCGATCCCTCTCTGTGAAACAGAGACTCACAGAGAGAAGAGGACGACCCAGCCATGGCTTCTTCCTCCATTTTTGCTCTCTTCATTTTCTTCATTTTCCTTCTTCACCGCCCCTTTTCCTCCAATGCAAATCTCCACCAAACAAGACTCTTCGTATCAGAACATGTCTCACAGGCAGCACCCACGGAAGTTCCAATCACTCGTTACTTTGAAGTATCCCGGCCCATCCAAGTACCCAGGACAAAACCCTGCTCTGTTCTTGTCCTTCAACATGATTTCGGCAACACATACGGCCAACCACCTGTTCTTGCTCAGTACAATCCCCCGTTGAACTGCCCATCTCAGGATTTCTCCAAAATCGTCCTCGAATGGAATGCAACCTGTAAAGGAAGACAATTTGATCGCATCTTTGGTATGTGGTTGGGTGGAGTTGAGCTTCTCCGGAGTTGCACAGCAGAACCTAGAGGCACTGGAATCGTTTGGTCGGTTAAGAAAGATATCACGAGGTACTCATCATTGCTTAAGAACCCCCAAACACTAGCTGTTCATCTGGCTAATATTGTTGATCAAACGTACACTGGAGTTTACCATGTTAACATAACATTCCACTTTTGGCCTGCGGAGGAACGTCCCCGCTTCCAGAAGCCGAATTGGGCGAGTTCGGTCTATGGGTTTGGCTTCCCAGCAGATTTGATATTGCCCATCTCGCGAAATCTGCCTTTGAATGATGGGTTGTGGTTTCTGGTTCAGAACTCGACGGATGTCCAGTTGAAGGAGTTTAAGATTCCTCAAAATGCCTATAGAGCTATTCTGGAAGTTTATGTTTCTTACCATTCTGATGACGAGTTCTGGTACTCCAATCCTCCTAATGACTACATAACTGCAAATAATCTTACCCAGGTTCCAGGAAATGGACCTTTTCGGGAGGTTGTAGTCAGTATTGATGGTACTGTAGTTGGGGCTGTCTGGCCTTCTACTGTGATATACACCGGAGGGATCAATCCTCTGCTATGGAGACCTATCTCTGGAATTGGTTCTTTTGATCTCCCTTCATATGATATTGATATTACTCCATTCCTAGGAAAAGTTTTGGATGGAAAGCAGCATCAGTTGGGGTTTAGTGTAACAAATGCTCTTAGTGTGTGGTACATAGATGCAAATTTGCACGTATGGTTGGATAAACAAAGTGCTAGAACTAAAGGAAAGTTGATTAAATATGATGTCCAACCTCCAGTGATGACCTTAGTTTCGGACTTCAATGGTTCAAATGGAGATTTTCTTATTACAGCAAGTAGGTCTTTTCTTTTGGCTGGATGGGTGAAGTCTTCTCATGGAAACATCACAACCCAATCACATCAATACTTTGCTTACAGGAACACAATGAAGTTTGGGAACAATGGGAATGAGCAGATTGTGAATCAAACAACAGATGTCAATGCCAGTGTTTATTCTAGGCTCCCTTCTCGTTTATATTTTATGGATTTATCTAGAAGGTTTCCCCTTTATTTGTACACTAACTTTGTGGATCAAGGAAATGGAACCTCGACTTCAGTTTCAAACCTGTCCTTAGGATTCAACCAGCAGTTGTTTTCACATGGCCCATTTGGTTTCTCAAGGGGCAATCTCATAAATCTGCAGGCTGCACAGGGTTCTATGATTGTAAAGGGGAATTTGGTAACTAGTGGTCTGGGAAGTACTCAGCAAGTATATACATATGATGGTAAAGATGGATGCTACTTTAGGAAAGTGAGCAGTAGAAACTATACCATCCTCTATGATCAAATAGAAAGGAGTTGCAAAAGAAAGCTACACCCAAGCTTGTTTCTTGGAGTCAACAAGAGGCCATTTCCCACTCGGAGGAATTTACTTGCATCAGATTTACATGATCAAGAGAAGCAAGTTTAGATCTACCAACCTGGTTGATTATTGGTTGCTCCATTTGAAATGCTCTACTGAAGCTTTGCCAATCAAAATAAATGTTACAGTTGAGATTTTGTATATCTTTATTACTATTTTCTAGTTAATTTTCAAGGATATCTAAGTTTATATTTAGTATTCATTTCAGTCTAGATTGAAAGATACCTACTTTCTTTCCTCTTGTATTGGGGTCTCTTCCCCCTCCTCTCTTTTTAAATAGATTTATTCTTAATTATAAAAAAACATTTTTTAGATTAGATTGTATTCATTTCCTACAAAAAAAGTCAATGACACTTTTCTTAATTGAATAACTGCCCAAAATATTGAACTTCCACTAAGATGTTGTGAGGGGTGAAATCTAAGACTGGCATCTTTTGCAGACTGGCCACTCTCAGACCTGAACCTATGTTCTAAACTTCTAATGTTTGTAACCCTGAGGTTTTATCCTTGCACCAGAAATGGTCCATGGTTCTAGATTGTTGTCTGCATATGAAGGGGACAAATACAGGCACAGAACTGCTGATATGTGGTTGGACTTCTACGGTAAGACAAGATGTGTATTTGTCTTTTGATAAACTCTAGACTTGTGTTAAGTAACTGTTTAGAAGCAAGATAGAGGCCTTCATCATGGGGCAGTAATACTGTTTTCAGAGAACATATACTGATCCTTTCCTCCTATGCTGTTACATTGTTGTATGCATATTATGTGTGTAGACAAGAACTCTCACCATTATTTACCTTGTGGTTCAAGGAGCTTCTGAACCTGAAATTCTGGATATAATGAAAAGATATATGGTGAAGAAGCTATTAGCTACTTTAAGGGGCTGTTTGGCATCGTTGCCGTTTCCTGGAGCAACGGCACCACATCAGAAAAAATGGTGCTCCAGGAAACGGACATTTGTTTGGAACTGTTTTTCCATAAAAAACAGTGCTCCAAGCCATGCCTCGAAAATCGGGAAGCCATGACTTGGAGCAATGCCAAATTTGGTGTTTCCTGGAGCTGCAGCTCTTGCTGCCAACAGGGCAGTGATGTGGCACTGGATAATAGGTACCAGTGCTGAAAACGTTTCCTGGAGCAGTGGTACCAAACAGAAAAAGTTGCTGTTGCTCCAGGAAACGTCCTACCTGGCAGCAACAATTCCAAACAAAAATAAAGGCACCGAGAAAATGGTGCTCCAAGCCGCTGCAACTGCACATCAATGCCAAACATATACTAAGTTATTTTCTCATTGGTTCCATTTTCACTTGATACATATATCCAATTTAAAATATTGCATTACAAAATGCAATGCAAGAGTTGTAATATTTTTGCTTGTTAGTACATAATAACTAGGTAAAAAGGTGAAATACCTACAGGTCAAAATAAAAGGCAAGGGACCTCAAAATGAATAAAATGCTATTGCTAATTATCTTTGACCAATACAGGATTGAACATTCATACTCCACATTAAAGGCCGCTTCCCCTTTAATATTTTATTTTCTTGATTTCCTTTTCTTGACCTCTTCTTAAAGTGCTTTGAACTTTATGAAGGCACAATTCTATTCTTTAATCTTCTTTTTAAAGTAAGATGATCTCTATAGTTGTAGGAAAGTTGTGGAAGAATTCTAGTTATGAAGAATTTCTTGGTTTTTATTTTGACAGAAAATCCAACAAAAAAATCCATAAAAAGTTATGCTCAAACATGATAAGGCCTGGAAAAACAATATCAGAACCTCCCATGGGATTTCTTAAAATGAGAAGAGACTAGGTTTTTATTGAAGTCCTATACCTTTTCCCTCCAAATGGCTGTCTTTCGTTTGCACAATCAGGTGCATTTTGATCCATGAAGTGAACAACTATGATGCTTTTCTATTATGGCAACTGAGCTTTTCCTGACCTTGGAAAGGGGCCCAGTAATCTCCATTTTACATTTTTTACACAGAATTGTCCTCTGTTTCTATCAGACCTTGTGACTTGAGCTGCTTTCTTGTGTCACCATGACAAATTGGGTTGATAATTAATATTCTTTAGGAATGAAGAAGATTTTTGTGGAAATTCTTCTTATGAATTATGTTGGTTGCAGCTATAGTAGTGATTAACTTGATAATTGTCCTCTACCCTTGAAGAATTCAGCAAGTATACAAGATGTATACTAGCAAAATAGCTTGAGTATAGAAATAAAGAAAGATCAAAAGATTGTGAAAGGAACAAAGAGTTGCAGGAGAAAAAGAATTTTCAACCCCCAATTCTAAACATGGCAATATGTACAAACTGTTCAGAAGAACCTTCAGAATAAACAATTAAAACTTAAGGCTGTGTTTGGTTTGAAGGAAAAAGTAGGGAAAGGAAAGGAAAGGTAGGGAAAACCAAACAAGGTTTGTAAAGGTTTCCCTACCTTTCCCTTCCTTTCCCTACTTTTTCCTTTAAACCAAACATAGCCTAAAAGATAAGTAAACTAACCCCATATGCACCAAAGCCTTCACCATCTCCATCCAAAGGCCAACTGAGTAAGAATCCCATCTGGAAAAAAAAAATGAAAAAAGAAATTCATCCATTCTACCTTACACCCCTCCCCATAAGGAACCTAGTCTTGACCCTACCCTTGGCTTCCTCCCCTTTTACTTCTTGGCTTTGTTTTCTTATCCTTCCTCCCCTTTTACTTCTAGGCTTCCTCCCCTTTTTCTTATCCTTCCTCCCCACCCGAACTTTTTTTTTTCCTTTTTGTGAAACCACCTGAACTTAATGGTGAACAACTTGCTCCACCTTGTCCAATTGGTGAACTTCATTCAGTTGACTCTCCTCTTCGGTCTTCATCTGCCTTTCCTCTTTCCCTAAGCTTCCCCCCATCTTAGCTACTTCCTCATTGACTTCCAGATTCATCTTCCACACCCATCAAGTTGTATTCTTTGTCTAGCATGCAACTTCAAAAGAGATTAGAATATAATTATACTCTTGCACTTGATAGTTGATAATTGTCTAATTTTAAGGGGTGTTCAACAATGTGAATGGTTTTGGTTTCTAAAACAAAAACGACTGCCTCATCTCCAAGCAATCTTTAGTCATCCCAACGTACTCAACTTTTATATGATCTCATCTCTCTCCAACTAAAAGAAATACATTGAAAAGAATGGAAGGTGTCATACAAACTATAGAGCTCTCATCCTCCTTGGGCCTTAAGCTCAGTTTGGAAGGAGCACATATACAGATATATAGAGTGCAAAACCTTGTATTTTGTATGTATTTGTACTCTTTCCAAACTGAGCCTTTGGTGAAAACCAAATGCACCGAATGCTGTTCATTTCTGAAGCTAATCAAATGACAATTACTCTTATCCCCAGTCAGCCCTGTACGGAAAGTCATAAATACTGCTGATATGTATAGGTGAAAAAGAGAATGAAAAAAAATAGTCAATAGGAATTCACCATTGCACTTGCAAATTCAGTCCAAATTCATGCCTTTCGGCAGAATTGTCACATTCACCATTAAACTTTGCCAACACCTAACGTTATCGTGTTTGGTAGTGTGGGCATATTTTGGGCTCGATTTTCAAACAAAAAATGCCCACGACCCAAGAAAAACGTGTACAGACGTTTTTCAACCATTTTGCTGTTCGGAACCGTTTGTTCCATGTAGGACGAAGTAGCAATGTTTTCCAAGTTATGTTGTTTGGTAAGGTAATTTTGATTACTGTTTTCCATGCAAAAGATGGGCAATATTGTATGTGGTGATGCATGGTTAACCATGTACCGCCATTTGTTTGATGCCGTTCTAATGGTCTAGATGTCCCATATCGCTGCTTTATATTATTTACCACTTAAGTTCAAATCGAACGGTTAAAATCGGTTTTGGATTAGATCCAATGACGACAAGTCGACCCCATTTTGGACCGCCACTGCTAGCCCTTGGCTGGTCCTGCAGTTGCAGATGGATATATCTACCGCGATGAAACCTTGCCCAACTACGAGCTGTAGAAAGGTGAGAAACACAGTTAAAAATGATAATATAGCAGTGAATTTAATGATCAGAATCAGCTTGCTTACCCAAGGTTTCAAAGTTGAATGTAATCCAACAATCGCCCACGCCGTGGTTTCTTATGAGAATAGTCTGGTTAATTCCATCTCCGGTCATCATTAAATTCATCTTGTTTTTTTTTTTTCAAAAGCAGGCACAAAATATATTAAGAATTAAAAGTTACATGCTGTGAATGTTTGGAGTTAAAGTGTAGGGTAAACTGGCCTTTACAGGCTAAGTAAGCTAAAAGATGAACTGTTTGGTTGTGCTGTCTCATAATATGTACGAACTTTATAAATACAAAGGAGTCTATTAGACGTTTCAGATGTCTTCTATGCAGCTGCTCGAACCAGAAGGATACTCGGTCAGTATTTGCTAGCTCTAATAAAGTTGCATTATCTGTATATACCAAACGATGGGAGATGCCATTGGAAAGTGTCGTCCGTAGTCTACTTAGAAGGGCTCGAATTTCGGCATCATAACTGGTAAGGGCCCAAAAAAGTCTGCCTTCAATGATGGTAAAATGCTCGTGGGGATGTTGGAGGGTGAACCCTCCTCGTCTTGCATTACCTGTAGCTGTATCAAAAGAGCCATCAGTGTACAGAGTGAGAAGCTCATTTTGCCTTGGTTGATCCCGATGATGATGCATAGGCTGGGTTGGTGAAAGCTCCACGTGATAACTTATCGCTGAGTTTACCACTTGAGTAGGGTGTTGTATGGCATTTTCAAAAATCTATTCATTCCTTGCTTTCCATATGAAATATATAATTATAGAGAATTTACTAAGACATATTAGAGCTTAATGTTTACCTAGATGAGAGCACAAGGAAGTGTACCAATTCATGATAATGACGTGAATGGGGAGTTGAGATATGCGTGAAGGGTTTAAGCCAATCTGGGCACCACACCAAACTACTCGAGCAAAAGAGAAACTTAATAGTTTTTTGATAGATAAAGAGGAATTAAATTAGACACAATCAAATTCACCAAAGTCCAACCAACTGGGTAAGTTTTTCCGGTACCAAAAAATTTGTGAGTGCTTGGCCTCTTGAGCCAACCTATGAGCAAC